CACACCAGCCCTTCCCTTGGCACTCCAGTTTCTCCGGACTGCTTTGATTTGCTCCGTGTCACCTTTGAACAGGCCATGGAAACAATTACACTCATGGTTTATGGTCTGTGCCCTACTGCTCTACCCCCAACCCCACCTCTAGAATGTAAGCTCCAGAAGGGCAGGAATTTTTATATTATTAAGGTTATTGATACATCCCAACCCCCTAAAACAGTGCCTGACAGATAGTAAGCACCCTGTAGAGTCTTGCTGAATAAATTGAATGCATAAATATACCTGTTAGTTCACATCTCTCTGTTCACACATTCTTTTTTATTCATCCTATTCCCCCGCAGCTACAATCTCATTGACACTTTCTGCTTCAAACATGTCTTGTTTACCTATTGGTCTCCCCCAGTTCTTGGGCCAGGGGAGGCATCTTAGTTTATCTTTCTATGCCTACTTCCTAACACGCACCAGAAAATAAAAAGCGCTTAATAAATATCTGTTGAACTCATGTTGTATTTCAGGCAACATGTACAAACTCGGACCATAACTATACAGAAGAGCTCATTCCTGAACGAATTACTTTGGTTCCATAAATCTTTGGCTTAAACCAGGAGGTACTGATGTATCCATTCGGATAACTGGTCGAGGCAGGGGCCAATTTTTGCAAATTCTATTTCGCCAGTATTTCAGAAAATGCAATTTGGTCTTGAATAGCTGGTCTCAGACCAGATGGTTAGTACGTTCTGATTTTTAGAATTGGGGATATGCTCCCTGACTGAAAATAAATTAAGAGGAGAGCAGGCGTGGAATAACTATTACCTCATTAGTTACTGCACGTAGGACATCGTGCCAGCGATTTCACATATATTACCTCATTTTATCCACAGCAAACTCGTGAAGCAGATATTATTATCTATATTTCACAGGCGAGGAAGCTGAGGTTCAGAGAATTAAGTAATCAACCAGGGTCATGTAACAGATGAGTGGTGTGACAGGAATGTGACCAAATTTCCTGTGGAATAAAGCCCTGGCCCCCTGCACCCTGCTGCCGTGTGGGTGTTTATTCTCAGGGTCATCTTCTTGTACGTTATGGACTCACCCACCTATTTTATTGTCTCTGCATCTTTTTTTTTTTTTTTTTTTTTTTTCTTCCCTGGACTCTCATTTTCTAGTTCCTTGGCCTCTCCCGTTGCGGAGCACAGGCTCCGGACGCGCAGGCTCAGCGGCCACGGCTCACGGGCCCAGCCGCTCCGCGGCATGTGGGGTCTTCCCGGACCGGGGCACGAACCCGCGTCCCCCGCATCGGCAGGCGGACTCTCAACCACTGCGCCACCAGGGAAGCCCTCTGCATCTTTGACGTCTGATTCTTTTACTACCCTGAACACAGTGGGTAATGTTTTCTACAACATACCTGTTCTTTTAAAATTTGGACCCTACAGAAGTACAATCTAATGAAATTTAGTGCTGGCCTGTGAATACCCTGAAGTGTCACACCAGCTTGCTTTGAAGTGGTGTCCCTCTCCAGGACCTACTTGAAAAGTCCCACCCAGCCTTCACCCTGAGGGCCGACTGGAATTTAGCCTGACCTGTTTGGTTACAAAGGGCAGTGCCGTAATGCTGAATCTGAACTTTTTCATTTCCTGCTCAAGGATGTCTAACTTTCTTAGGCAAAAACAAAACAGAAATAAAACAAGGGAGGAAGCGGTCAGGGAAGACGGGAGGATGTAGGAGATACAGTTTGCGGCATTACTTTGTGAACACCCGGGGCACAGGCTCTGCCCTCCCTCCGGACTGAACAGAGAAGAGTCCAGGTGAAAGTGCCCTTTCAGGAGGGTTGTTAGGGAACAGCAGACTTGCCGGAGGGCTCAGAACTCTATCCCAGAGGAGAAAACTCTATTTGGTTCTGTGCCAGCGTGTCTTGTCATGACGGAGGACACGAAAGGAGAAAGGGCTGTCGTAGTGTGTAGATGTCCACCCCAGTCTCCCAATTCATCCCTCGCCTCCATTATCCCTGGGTAACCATAAGTTTGTTTTCTACATCTGTAACTCTATTTCTGTTTTGTAAATAAGCTCATTTGTACCCTTTTTTTAGATTCCACATATAAGCGATATCATATGATGTCTTTCTCTGTCTGACTTACTTAGTATGACAATATCTAGGTCCATCCATGTTGCTGCAAATGGCATTATTTTGTCCTCTTTATGGCTGAGTAATATTCCACTGTATACACACTACTATATATAACATAGATAACTAATAAGAACCTACTTGTATTGCACAGAGAACTCTACTCAACACTCTACAATGGCCCATACGGGAAAAGAATGTAAAAAAGAGTGGATAGATGTACATGTATAACTGAATCACTTTGCTGTACACCTGAAATTAACACAACATTGTAAATCAACTAGACTCCAAGAAAAATTTTTTAAAAAGGGCTGGTGTAGGACAAGAGGCCACATTTACCAACGACGATGCGCCAGCCAGGAGAAGCATCCGTAACGACGCTTAGCGATCCAGAAGCTGAGCTGAGGAGAAATATAATGATGGCAAAATGTATGCAGCTCCCAAGGTCAGAGTGGAAAACGCGTGTTTTGGGGACACTAAAGGTGCTTCCAGAAGGTTCCCCTTTAGGACCTGCTGGACACGCCAAAGACGCGGAAGCTCAGTCCACAACCAGAGAGCAATGATCTATTAGTCCCCAGAATATGGTTGATAGTGTCTATTTGATGCCCTGTCATTCGTCCCCAGTGAACTTTGGAAAAAAACGTTCACTCAATTTTATGGCTGGGAGAGGCTTCAGAGGTGGATGTTATCCACCCCTCGTTTTACTGATGAAGCTTCTCAGACGCAGATAGATGTGGGGAATTCTACTTTTCAGCGTTTATGAGAACACGAGGTATAGTTACAGAAACATACTCTGGATGGTTCAGGGTCGTGCTGAACCTGGTCATCCCGCCCGACTGTCCCCACGAGCATACCTGGATCTGCCGGAGCGTGTATTCCAGCTGGAGATTTGGAAACGTATGATCACCTTATGGCTTGGAAAATAACATTCGGAAAAATAAAATGTTCAGAAAATCTGGTTTGGCCTTTGCATCCGCGCTGAGGTGCACACACTGAGAAGGGAAGAGGATTAAAACATGTTCCGCTCCTCTGTTCCTCATTTTTTAGTTTTTACGGAAATATGTTTGGGGAGAGAAACTGCGAGTCTACGGGGGGTCCCCGCTTGAGCTACTGACAAAAGTGACAATAGGAAGAAATCTAGATAGTTAAGAAGAAAAAGAAGTACGTGGATTGCGGAACAGAGTGAATTCTAGAATTTAGCGGGTCACATAGAATTATCACGAATGTAACAGCTTAAGGATGCTCTTTGAAAAGCTGATGGAAATATATTAGGCCTGTGTAGCTAAATTGGTAGAAAGTGGGGCAGGAGACGGAGTGGGAGGGATGCTGGGGAGGAGGGGGTGGGAGGGCCAAGGAGCTGCGGCCTAGGGAGGCGCGGGGGCGTCTGTGGGATGGGATCTGTGACCTCAGCATTAACATCAGCCCCAGGAGGGAAGGGGCGGGTGAGCTCAGCACGCAGCCTGCTTCTCCAGAATCTGCTGCCTCGCCCCGTGAAAGGAGAGCTCCTGCCAGCTGCCCTGGGGTCCAAGGGCGGCCAGTGAAGCAGGGGATGAGGAAAATGGGCAGGAGAAGTCAGCAGCCCTCTCGTGTGTAAGGAAAGTGAAATCCACAGTAAACTTGGGAGACTTGGAAGAGAGCACAGGAAGGAGGGAGCCTATGTATTAGATGTAGCTCTGCGTTTACAGGGAAAGTGGAAACATGCAAACGAGGCTTGGGGCCGCCTTCCTCCTTCCTTATTCTTGCTTCTTTCACGGGCACCCAGCTATGCAAACATCCGGGTCTGAAAGCACGTTAAATATTGGTTAGCAACCAGTGTAACCCAGAAATGCCGACATAGGATGCCTAAAAGCTGAGTCTAACGTTCCTCAGTTAAAGAAAATAAGCAGACCCTCTTAATGTTTCCCAAGCTAAATAATAAAACACAACTTGTTCCTAAAATTTCAGCAGTGTGATCTGGGGATGTTTTTACATGTCATTGGCCCATTTTTTTTTTAACGCATAGACACTATAAGAGACAAAAGCATCTAATGCTAGTTAAGGAAAGATCCCTTTCTCGTAGCACTGGCTTCCTTCCCCCTGCTTGCACAATACAAAGCAGTGTGTATTAATAGAGGCTACTCACATGATGGGCTTGCTCACCACTTAAACTCTGTGCCCTGCGAGCACCTTCATTCACAGGGCCATTCTCTTTATCACATACTGAGCTAACACTGCCTCCCTCCACTTTACAAAAGGCAGGGAGAGCTGCATCCCAGGAAGAGCAGCGATGCCGATAAAGGGGTCGGGAAGAGGCAGAAGCTCAGATTTGAGCCTGTGCTTGGAGATTCTGCCCGTGCACTGTGCACCCCCAGTCCCGAGTTCATCCTGGTTCCTGGCCCTCTGGTATTTGCCTTTCCCGGTACAAGGGTAGGGAAGATGACGACTCTTCTGGTCCTCTGGGTGCGTGTGCGAGGCTGCGGTGGCGCCTACTGCGGACTGAATTACCATCTCTGTATGCAACCCTCTCCCCAGACAGCTAGATTAGTAGCTGCTTGACAAGCAACCTCGTGTACTTTTCATCTTCAAAACCCGAGCGTGTAACAAAATGCTTATCACAGAGCAGGCAATGAATGGATTCTGTTTTTTAAAAATCCATGAATGAATGAATTCTTTGTTTCTGGCTGAATCTGCTTGGAGGGCCCACGTCGTGCCCACGGTTCCTGGGAAACCACATTCCGTGTGGCAGTCCCACCTCCTGTTGTTTGATTTGGGAGGTGGTCTATTTTTTTCACACTCTGGGTAGATACTGATACAGCAGGGTTATTTTACTTCCTCTTTATATTTTGGGTTCCAGGCATTCACCATGCATGATATCAGTCTTTTCTTTTCTTTCCGATCCCTGCAGGACAGAACATTATTCCATCCTGTGAGTAGCAGCTGCATGGATTGCAACCCAGCAGAGAGGAAGATTTTCATGGCCAGATGTGACCCTCTCTCCGAGACTCAGCAGTGGATCTTTGAACATATTAATATGACTGTTTTAGAAAAATTTAACTACCATGCCAGCTCCTAGAAAGAAAAAAAGGAAGGAAGAAACAGTGATTACCTACAGGTTATAAAAACTAAATTTTAGCCAGTCTCTGGGTCAAAGGAGTCAGGAATAACATTTCCTAGATCCAGGAAGTCTGGTTTAAAGATATGTAGATGCCACGTCAAAGTTGGTTGTCCCGAAGAACTTCCTGCGCCTGAGGAACTTGGCTAAGAACCTCACCAGCTGCTTCTGAGAACTTGAGCAGTCCCCTTGCTGGCCAAGGGCAAAGATGATTTAGGGACTTTTGCAAACAACTGCTGAGTTAATGAATCCTAGCATTTCTCAGGTCAAATCCTGCAGTAGTGGGTAGCTATGAATGGATCCTCTTAAGTGGGTGGGTGGGGTGCAGGTGAAGGGCATGACTGCTCCGACGACCTGTCGCAGGTTTAGAACGGGCCATTCTCCGACTCGAATGGTAAAACGTGCTGCAGATGATTCTAGAATGCTCATACCATTCTGTGTTCTTGTTTTATTTTGCAATGAGGGTGTGCTATCTAAGACTTCAATTACATCATGAAATGGACTTGGAGTGTCTCCATGCCTTCATTGACGTGTGCCACTTCCCTTTTACAGCAGAGGTAATTTAACTGGTCATAAAAGTTCATGCTCCATAAATTAGCTGAGGTTCTAATTCAGTGCCCTTGTATGAATCCAGCCGAAAAACAAACACGAAAAACTCTGCTACCAAGTTACTCCCAAGAGAAAGGTTTCCCAGAAGCAGCGAAACCATGTAAGGTTTAAGGAGAGGAATTTCCCTAGGAAATCTATTTTTACTTTTCTGTTACTTTTAGAATTTTAAAAGTCTGATGCTTGTCCAGTCATCGTTTTATTAAGGAAGGACATGGAGTGAGGTTGATGTAATTTGCTGAGGAGAGTCTTAAATCCAAATAAATCTACACTCCAAGTGACGTGAAAATGGCTTAGTACATTTCAGTTATGCTTGATCAGTGCTGGGGACATAGAAACGGCTGGGTTTTGCTCTCGGCTGGGGTTTTTTGTTTATTTGTTTTATAACGTAGGTATTAAGGATGTTTTCGTTTTCCTTGGAAGCACATTGAAGGAATTTCCATTAATAAAGTGCTTCTGACCCCATTTTCTATTAATGGGACAAGATTTCAGGGATGATTAAAAAACTAAATGGAACATTTAATCCTTGAAAGAACTTTTTTTTTTTTTTTTTTACTTTTCAATAACAATGGGGGTGGGGGAGGAATATACAGGGATGAGTATACAGGAATATACAGGGATGGATATATAGAGGAAAGAATGACGTTTGTTTTATATATATATTTCTCAAGTCTTTTTCAGGTAGAACAAAGTTTTTATTTTGCTTTTGTTGTTTTCTTTCAACTCGCTTTTCATATTAATAAAAAATATATATATTGTCTTGGATATAAAAACATTGAATTTTAGAACTGGGAAGACACTTAGAATCCAATCCCTTTGTTTTTTTTTTGTTTTTTGTTTTTTTTTTCTTGCGTTATGCGGGCCTCTCACTGTCGTGGCGTCTCCCATTTGCGGAGCACAGGCTCCGGACGCGCAGGCCCAGCGGCCACGGCTTACGGGCCCAGCCGCTCCGCGGCACGCGGGATCCTCCCGAAACGGGGCACGAACCCGCGCCCCCTGCATCGGCAGGCGGACTCTCAAGCACTGCGCCACCAGGGACGCCCAATCCCTTTGTTTTTACAGATGAATAGCGAAAGCCCAGAGGAGAGTGGTCCTAATTCCTGGCAGGGCGGATGGGTCTTCCAACGCCTGGTGCCCAGTGCTTTTCTTCCTGTGTTGCCTCTTCCGTTATCCGAGAAGGTTCTGGTTTCTACTCTGATTTAACTAGAAACGTTCAGTCCCTAGATGAGAATAATATGCCTGCCTGGGGATGCCCACAAGAGAAGCATTCACGTTCAGAAGCTTTAACATATGAAACCTCTTCGCGTAACTGTTCACGATTTCGTTCTCTCCTTCAAATCTAATCAAAATGTCCAGTTAAACTGCCCTGCTAATAGGTGGGGAAGAGTTATTTCGTTATCTCTACTGATTTTTCAAGCATACTTTTGAAGAGCTATTCTATTTAAACTGACAGTCGCAGAGATTTTTGTGTGTGTGTAGGTCAAGCGGTCTTGAGGCTTTCACGATGCATAGTGGAGAAAATCAATAGTGAGAAATTAACCTGTGTGCTGAACAATTCCAGAGAGTGGGTGAAGATTTATCTCAAGTGTTCAGAGAGCAATCTGGTTGTAGAATGAGATGAGCCTATAAAAATCCACATTATGTCACTAAACAGTCGACTGCTGTTTACAGTTCCACCGAAGAGCCAGCCCCAGGTTTTGCACCCTGGAAAGCCCAGATTTGCAGTATGCGAGGGTGCTCTCATCCTGGGAAAACGCATCCTTTTGGTGTGACAACCAGGATCTGATCTCAGAGGGCCCTGTCTCTTACTTTGACTAGAAGGATGTAATTCAAAAAATTAAAATTAAAAAATTTTCAAGACAAGCCTGAGACATGAAAGCCAAAATGAAAACCTCAAACTGCCAAGTAATTGTTAGATGTGTGCAAAGTGGGAACATCCAAACAGAATCAAACAAAGCCTCAGAATCTACTCCCAGGCGGGAGGGCCTGGCACTGCAATAAACATGTCCAAGGAGGTTTCCCAGTGCCACCAAAGGGCGGGACTCTGCTTACTTGAAATACCGCTATGGCCATTCTGAAAAATAGAAAATTGCATATGTTTTTGCATTTATATGGCAAAAGGACTGAACAGTCGTCAGAGAGATTCTCTTTCCTGGAAAGAACGCGGTTTAGAAATGGAGCATCAGAGTTCGGACCCACCCTTTTATCAGAATGAGAAGAAAACTAGCAGAAAGTTCATCTGACCCTGGAAATAGCTACTTCTCTAGAATAAGAAATGGTTTTGCCACAAGTTAGAAAATAGTTAATTTTTCAAATCCTTTTTACGCATTTACTGAGAAAAGGCTGTGCTGGAAAACAGTTGTGAACTAATTGTGGGATTTGTATGTGCTCCAAGGTTGGATTAATACCATGGCAATAACAATGACTGGCTTCTAGGTCTACTGCTATTTAGTTTAAAATATTAACATGATCACATGACTGTTTTGAAATGTATTCATTATAACAGAGGCCTCAGTGTATAATGCAAGTTCCAGGATTATTTTGTGAATTGGTAACATAGAGCGTTATACAACAGATGCGTAACACGTAACGAAAATGGATTTACAGTCAATGAAAGAGAGCGTTAGGCCCATTCTGTTCACATTCTAGCAAAACACTTGACACGGTGTCCTTTAGGGGCAACTATATGTTTTTTTTAAAAAGCAGCCAGGGGACTTCCCTGGTGGCACAGTGATTAAGACTCTGCGCTCCCAATGCAAGGGGCCCGGGTTCAATCCCTGGTAGGGGAACTAGATCCCACATGCATGCCACAACTAAGAGTTCGCATGCTACAGCTAAGGAACCCATGAGCTGCAACTAAGACCCAGCACAACCAAATAAATAATATTTTAAAAAAAAAAAAGCAGCCAGAAAATAAAGGGCATATAAATATCTCTTTGGTGCTTCTTGCCCTCACATGAAAAACTTCGATTTCAATTCCTTCATAACTCCAATAACTTCATTATCTCCACAATGAAGGAGCAAAAAGGAATCTTTAATTGGAAAGACTGGCATATAAACTTTATGTCAGACACATCAAAAGAGCCAAGGACACTCAGATGACAAAACCGACAGTCCAGTGAGAAAAGGCCATGCCCACCTCTGGGTGACATCACACATCTGAGGACCAGAACAGCATTGATGGGAAGGCTGGGACATTCCTTCTGCTTTTGACTTCCCATCTGAAGTGCTACAGCCTCTTTCCCAGGAGTGGACAGTGCCTCAGCCTCCAAATGCTGCCGGGTCACCTTATGCAGAATTTAGAGTCTTCCTAATAATATGAGGTTCTTGTGAACATTGATTTATCCCTGGGACCCCTTTAGGAATATCTCCTGAGGCCTCTTCCCCTGGCAGGGATATAGGGTGGAAATACACTTTCATAAGCAGCTGCTGGAGATAAAGAAAGAGGGCAATTTATATAAATCCTGGGAGACAACACCTCAAAGGGAAAATATTTCTCAGTGATACCCTGAGATTCTGGGAGTAAATGTAAACGGCGAGAGGTGGTCTGTATCTCTAGACACGGGTGCCCATCACCCCCTGCGTTCACTCCATCACCAGGTGCTGCCCTGGCCATCCTAACTCTCACACGTCACCACGTGTGCCACTGTGGCAGGAACACTGAAAAGTGACAAGTGGCCAGTCCTCCCATGCCGCCGACGTTGGAAGATTGCTCTTTGATTTATGTCTGGAGCCTTTGTTAGAGGCCTGGGAGCTGTTTGCGACTCTATTTGGTAGACTTGACATTGGCTCGGAGCTTTTATCACAGTCACTCATCTCCGCGCTTGACACGTCAGGCTGGTGTGTCTGGTACCGCGGCTTCTCAGCAGATGATAGCCCAGGCACGTGTGTGATGCTTCAGAGAAACCTGGGGACATTTCTCCTGTCCCTCCGGCCTGAAGTGGCCCCCTTCAGCTCACCACAAGACAGCCCCCCAGGGTCGCTAGAGTCTGCCACACCCCACGTGTGCCCAGGTCAACCTCAGTACAGAAAGGCTGGACATTGCAGAATCTTCTATCCTGACATCACTCACCTTGGGAGGGGTAAGCTTATTAGTTTGTAACTAAGTGACATAGGTCCTGGTTTATCAGGGACAGTCCTGGTTTCTGCCTGTGTAATTATCAACAGAGCCACCTTTCACTCTTAAAAGTGTCCTAGTTTGGATAGCAAATTTTATGGTCACTCCATCTATAATCCACCTGCCTGTTTACTTCATAGTTCCCGTACTTATGAAGGCCCAGAGTCTACAAGAATTCAACTAGTCTCACCCCATCCCTTCACACAGGACCAGACGAAAACCAGTTCTATTTGGTGATTGTCTAAAGCATTCACATGGTTCTTTACAAGTTGCTTCATGGAAGCTTTTTAATTAAGAGTTCTTACACCCATCTACATTGTTTTGTTGAATCAAGACGATTCTAGTTTAAATGTTTTTTTTCATGACTTAAAAAATTGATTTGAGGGCTTCCCTGGTGGCGCAGTGGTTGAGAGTCCGCCTGCCGATGCAGGGGACACGGATTCGTGCCCCGGTCCCGGAAGATCCCACATGCCACAGAGCGGCCGGGCCCGTGAGCCATGGCCACCGAGCCTGCACGTCCGGAGCCTGTGCTCCGCAACGGGAGAGGCCACAACAGTGAGAGGCCCGTGTACAGCCAAAAAAAAAATTGATTTGAAATTAACTAAGTCATTTTCTACTTTTCCAAGCTGAAAACAGTAGATGCCCACCA